TCCACCTCTATCACCGGATCCGAGCCCCCTCACCGCCGGCCCCACAAATGCAGAAGCCTCCTGCCTGGGCACCCAAATCAATTCCGCAGGACCCAATCCCCTCTGCAGGTGGCAGCCAGAGTCCCGCCCAACTGCCTACCTGAGTAGAGCGCCTCTCCTCACGGGGCCCTCTGGCCCTCACTTCCCCAGCAGCCTCTACCAGCACGCAGTCCTTGCTCCCCAACCCACACACACTTACCCCGGGCTCCACAGGAGCTGCAACAGGGATCCACGGAATGAGGTCCCCTCCTTGGGCTGTGGGACCCACTGCTCACCATGGAATCCTCAGAGCCCCCAAGGCTTCTCCCTGCCTGTAGTCCAGCATGGGGCCAGGCCTGGCCTCGCATCGTCCCCCTGCATGGCCCCCTGCATCACAAGCTGCACACGTGCCCCAGGCTAGGACTGCAGGAATGCAGGCGGCAGCTCCACACAGCTGCAAAGCGGAAGCCCACTGGGCAGGAATACTAACCACGGCAAACCCGACTAAGGAACACGGTACGTCGCCGAACAGAGCAGGCGTGCGCACTCCTGGGTCGAAATGAGCCTCAAGACCCCGGCCAACTCAGAGAGACGCCAGCCCTGGGGGATCCATCTGCACACAGGCAAACAGCACTCCGTTCTGGGCTATGAAAATTCCATGGCAAAAACAAAGGCATGACGCCTGCACACCGAGGCGTGTGGTGGAGCGGGAAGACAGGGGTGTCTGTGGAGGGCGTCAGGCAATCGAGAGGGAAGTTTTACCCCTGTGCTGGGTTCAGAGCCTTCACTGTGCTATTGCCTTACTCACACAGCTTCTGTCGCAGGTTGAATTATATCCCCCCAAAAAGAGACGTCCAAGTCCTAGCCACTGTACGGGGAATGTGACTTTGAAAATAGGGTTATTTGCAGATATGATCAAGTTAAGACAAAGCCGTACCGGAGCAGGGTGGGCACTAACCCAATGATGGGCGTCCTTCTGAGAAGACGGGACAGAGACACACAGGGGAAGGCAGAGACGGGGTGATGTGGCCACAGGCTGAGGACGCCCGGAGCCACCAGAGGCTGCAAGAGGCTAGGAATGCTCCTCCCCTAGGCCTCCCAGAAGGAATGACCAACCCTCGTGACACCTCAATTTCAGACTGCTTGCCTCCAGAATATGAGACAATAAATTCCTGTTGTTTTAAGCCACCAGGTTTATGGTCATCTGCTGCGGCGGTCCCTGGACACTAATACACACAGTACCCAAACTGTCCCCGAACATTCCCAGGAGACCCTGCCCAAGACTGCCCTCAGGCCGTGCGTGCCAGAGCCCAGGGGAGCAGGAGGGTCCTCAGAGGCACTGAAGGAGGGCAAGGAAGGTGCAGGCAGCAGGCTGTGGCTGGGGGATGGAGGCCCCTGAGGTTGTCACCACCCCTCAGAGCAGGGAACGATGCCCCAATCCCTCCACCCTGCAATACTGAAAACTCTGCAGAAACCCTTCTGGTGAGCGTGGCACAAACCTGCCAGCAGTGACATCTGATCAGTAGACAGGAGACTGCCCTGGTCTGTTCTCAGAGCATCACTTCTGCTGCAAACATATCCCCAGGTCTATAGTGGGAGGCTGCCCAGACTCCACTGAGGGTGCTCCCTCACATCGGCATGGATACTACACCATCTTCCCAGAAATGGAACAGATACGAGTTCTGGGGCACCTGTGACCCCCTGCTTCAGATGGTCTGCCTGCGTGTATGGCTTGCCTGGCATTGTGGCACAGGCTGCAAGCCAGTGGGGGGCTGTGTGGGCTCTGGCCAGCACCCCCACTCCGAGGCCTCTGGGCGGGCCCTCGTGCACAGGGAGGAGGCCAGCACAGGGTGCCCAGAGGGGGCACATGGCAGCTATATACAAAATGGGTTTCCACACTCGCAAGCCCTCCCGCTAGGACAGAGAATGGACTGCATGGGTCTGAGGCTCAGATGGGCTGGGGACTCACTGGCAGCCATGGCACTGGCATCCCGGAGTGACCCCTGGGCACACAAAGGGGTTCCCCACTCTGATCCATGCCCTGGGTGTGCTGCGTCACATCCCTAGGCCTTCACTTCTTGGCACACAAATGGAATATTCCAGATGCACCAGGGCAGGAATCCCAACATTCACCGATTCCGTGGACACTGAGCTAAGACCAAACAACAGTGAGTTTTACAGTTACAGGGCCATGAGCAAACGCCACAAACCTCAATAATAGCATAAAGTAATAGCGTACCCAATAAAATCAGGAGTGTGTGGGGAGGGCAGATGGAGGACCCAGAAGTGGGCCGAGAGCCCCAGCTCCCAAGCAGAGGTGCAGCCAGGGGCATGGAAGAAGTGGTCTGCAAAACCAGTCTGCTCTTGGAATATGGTCTGGTGGTTCCTCAAAAAGTGAGACACAGAATTACCACGTGACCCAGCATTTCCACTCCTGGGTATAGACCCCAAGGAACTCAGGTGTTCAAACAAAGACGTACACACACGTTCATAGCAGCACTAGTCACAGCTGCCAAGCAGTGGAAACAATGCAAGTGTACACCGATAGGTGAATGGATAAACAAGATGTAGTTCGTCCTGACAGTGGAATACTAGTCAGCCATAAAAAGGAACAAGGAAGCATCGACTCCTGCTACAATGTGGGTGAACCTCAAAAACATCATAATGAGAGAAGCCAGACACAAAAGGCCATAGATTGTACAATCCTGTCTACGCGAAATGTCCAGAACACACGAATCCATAGAGACGGCAAGTGGTTGCCAGGGGCTAGGGGAGGGGCCCTGGCTGCTAACCGGGACAGGGCTTCCTGCAGAGGTGATGGAATTGTTCTGGGACCACACAGAGGTGGTGCTTGTACAACACCATGAATGTACTAAAAGCCACTAAACTGCTCGCTAATATACGGTGAATTCTGTTATGTGAATTTTACCACAGTAAAAAAAAACATGAAGAAGGGCGCCTGGGTGGCTCAGTCAGTTAAGCGTCTGCCTTCAGCTCAGGTCGTGATCCCAGGGTCCTGGGATCAAGCCCCATATCCGGCTCCCTGCTCAGCCTGCTTCTCCCTCTCCCTCTGCCTGCCTCTCTGCCAGCTTGTGCGCTCTCTCAAATAAATAAACAAAATCTTAAAAAAAAAAAGAAGAAGAAGAAATGAAAAGCATTCCCAACATTCTGATCAAGGGCAAAGTGCATGTCAGTGTGAAGGTGAGCAGCGGGCAGGGCCCAGAGTGTCTCATCCTAAGCCTGTGCCTTTGGGACAGCAGCATGGGTAGCGGACTGTCACCAAGGACAGCGTCCTTGCCCTCAGAGCAGTGTCATCTAACAGGGAAGCCACTATGGCCCCATGTGTGTACCCAGAGGAAGAGCAGGGCCTGCCAAAGGGCCTGGGCCACGTGGCTTCTTGGCCACTGCATATCCCCTCTGCAGGCAGCCCAGGAATGAGTGGACCCATGAGGCACCCATCCCAGGAGTGGCGCGGCCGCCTCTCCACGGCAACCCAGACGCCCTCAGGGTCCACTGGCCCACATCAGAGCCCGCCACCTGGCAGGCAGGAGCACGGTGGCTGCAGCTGTGGCCTTCCTGAAGTCTGAAGAAACATTTTAAAGAATGCGAACTGGTGGCCAACTTAAAAAAAATTTTTTTTTAATTAGCTTAAATATCAGAATTGGGGCTTCTCCTGAAACACCAAAAGTGCCAACAACTCAGGGCCTGGATTTCTGGCTGGTGAATCTTTCTCAGTCAGAGCGGGACCAGGCATAAAGGCACCATGGGTCCCCTCAAACGCCACATCCAACCCCAGGCTCCAAGAGGGTCAGCACAGCCAGAGGTCACCCAGCTGGCTGCAGACCCGGGGCCTCCAAGCCTAGCTCATCCCTGCTGCCCTCACTCCAGCTCGGCAGCTGCGTGGCCTGACCCAAGGCCTGGAGGGAGGAAGCCCCCACCCCACCCCAAGAAGCAGGCCAACTGGGACGGGAAGGTGAAGATCTAGGATGCTGCATGTGGGCCAAGCAAGGCCCGGAATGCAGGTCTCACCCTGAGCCAAAACCCCAAAGAAATCCACTGCTGCCTGCTCAGCATTTAACCATTAACAGCCCAGGACCGAGAGGATGCTGAGAGGCCTGCAGAGCCCTGGGGCGGGGAGTGGGGGGGGGGGGCAGTGGTGAAAGCAGAGGGGTCAGCAGCCAGGCCTAGGCATAGGCTTGCTCAAGAGCCAGAGGTTCCGGGAGGGCAGCCCACACTACACCCCTACCCAAAGCACCCACCTGAGGGAATAGCTCAACACAGCCCAGAAGCCTGGCTGCTCACACTGGCTCCCAGTTTTGCCCTCCAGCAGTCCCTGAAAATCCTGCATGTCTGGCTCAGCCAGCAGGGCCGGTCCCCTCCGGGGAGGGTCCACAGGGCATTGCCTGGGGCCAGCAGGACGGGAGGCCTGGGCAGGCAGCTGGGAACAGAGGGAACAGAGGCAGAGGAAGCCAGTAGGCCCATGCTGTCTGGGGACAAGCTCGACCGGCTCACGAGCTTGCCCCCAAGCACAAAGCACAAACAGGTCCTGGTGCACTCTGGGCAGAGAGACCGGTGGAAAAGGGAGGAGGCTGAGGATTTCTGAGTAAGAGGGCCTGTGCCGAAAACAAGCAGGAAATGGGAGGGGGGAGCAGGCAGGTGGCCAACGAGGTGACACTGGAGCTGCGAAGAGGACTCTAGGCAGGAGGCCCAGGAGTGCAAAGGCCCTGGGGTCAGAATGAGCATGATGGGGGGAGGACCAGCATGGAGGGAACAAGGGGGCCAGGCCGCCCACCAGTAAACAAGGAGGTTGGGGTGCGGGGAGGCTCAGGGCTTCGTGGGACCTCACTCTGAGTATGATGAGAACCCACCGGAAAGATTTAAGCCAAAGTGACCTGAGCCACCTTCCCTTGCACAGAGTCCTCCATGCCAGGAAGAGCTGGATTGAGGGGCCAGAGTGGGGCAGGGCAGGCAATGTGGGAGTGGGTGGTTCATTCCTGGTAGATGGGACACAGAGCAGATGGTGATGGGACCCCTGACTCGAGTACCTTCCAGGATGGGGCCCAATGAGACATCTGGATGATTAGCCGCTGTCCAGATACAAGGAAAACTGCCCAGGACAGGAAGAACCTGGAAGCACCTGTCCCAGGCGCTGAGCACTGCCAGGTCGCACCCCTGGATGTACTTACAGCTTCCCAAAGGGTCCCAGGAGGGTGTCCACAGGCATGTTGGCTCACCCCAATTCCTGTCCACAGCCTCTCGTGGACACAGCCCCTGGCCAGGCACTCTGTCTGTCCCTCTCTCGTCCCCATGCGGGTGCGGGATAGCATTCCTCCTGATGTCTCCCTCCTTCATGTCCAGACTCCCACTCAGACCATGTGGCTATTAGAGAATTATGAAAGGTGTCACAGCTATCCTTGCTTCCCCTCACCCACCTGTGCCCTGAACCAGCAGCTGTGCCCCCCACTGCAGGGTTCCTGCCGCCACCCGTGGGATGAAGTCCATCGTGCCTGCGGGAACATGAGGCCAAGCTGGGGCACTCCCAGGATCGTCCCCTTGGGCCCTGCCTTCTCACACACATGCCTCCCCATGCCAAGCCTCTGCAGCTCCTGTGCCCCCTACCAGGTGCACCTTCTTCTACGCCCCGGGCAAACCTCACCCAGGGTATCACTGTGCTCAATGTGGCCGTCCCCGTGCGCCACTGGGCACCGACTGCTCCAGGAGCAGCTGCAGCCCTGCACCGCTACACACCAGGCAGGCTCCGAGCAGGTACTGGTCACACATTCATTCACTGGAGGAGCCTCTCCAGCCTGGCACCCATGGCCGCCCTCACAAGGGGACCTCCTCCAGCCTCTCATCCCATGGTTCCTCCTCTGGCCTCTGCCTTGTGGTCCCCTCCCAACTCCTTCAAACATGACTCTGCAAGGGCTCAGGCCTCTCTGTCCCTCGTGTGCCACCCCTTCCGGAGAGGCCCTTAATGCCAAGTTGGCCAGCAACTCCCGAGTGCCACCTGGCCCTGCCCTCCGAATGCCCCCTGATGCTCAGAGGAACCTCCTCCTCTATCCCAGCAGCCCCCTGACCAGGCTCGTGTTCTCCCGAATCCTCCATTCTACACTCCTGCTCCTCCTGACCCTGGCAGGTGGCACCATGATCTTCCTGTGTTGCAGCCCGTGCCCCCCCGTCAGGCCTCCCACCCTCACTGGCCTGGCAGGCACCTCTCATAGCTCCTGAGCTCCCCGGGAACCCCTGCCTCCCACACCTGGTCTCTTGCTCCCCCCAACCAACCTTTTCTTGAGCTCTCCCTAAAACCCAAAGCCAATACTGGGTCTCTCCTTCCCTACCACATCGGCTAGCCTCTGGGTCGTGCCCAAGCTCCCCACCTTGCCTCTTGGGGCCCTTCCAGATCTGACTCCCACTCCCGGCTCTCCTCTCTGGTCACTCGCCCCCTACCGAGAGTCACCTCATACCACAGTCATGCCCCAGACAAGCCCTCTCCAAGCTTCTGTGCCTCTATACACATCATTCCTCCTCTTCCCAAAGACCCTTTCCCTCAAAATCCCCTCCTGTCCCACCACAGAGCTCTCCTCTTCCAGGCAGCCCTCCCAGCTTGACCCCACCCTCCCACAGCCTCTTCTCTCCTCTAAGTCAGTAGCTCCTCAAGGCAGTCAGCAGACACCACTTCCTCCACAGAGCACCAACTTGTGCAGGTCCAGTCCTAAGGGCTATTCATGCGCTAACAGAGTTGACCCCCTCCACAAGCACATCTGAGGAGTGGCAATGGGGAACCTGAGAGCACCCAGGTATATGCTTGCCCAGGGCCACACAGCTGGGAGGAGGAGACCAGGACTTCATATTGTTAAGATGGCAATACTACCCAAAGCAATCTACAGAGTCAGTGCAACCCCTATCAAAATCCCAACCATGATTTTCGCAGAAATAGAAAAAGCCACCATAAAATTCATACGAAATCTCAAAGGACCCTGAATAGCCAAGACAATCTTTAAAAAGAAGAAAGTTGGCAGACTCATACTTCCTGATTTCTAAACTTACTACAAAGCTACAGTAACAAAGACAGTGTGGTACTGGCATAAAAACAGACCTAGAAACCAGTGGAATAGAAAGCCCAGAAATAAACTCTTGCATGCATGGTCAAATGATTTTTGACAAGGGTGCCAAAACCATTCAAGAGAGAAAGGACAGTCTTTTCAACAAGGTGCCGGGAAAACTGGATCTCTACATGCGATGAATAAAGTTGGACCCACACTTTATTCCAGATATAAAAATCAACATGGATCAAAGACTGAAAGCTAAAACTATAAAACTCAGAAGAAAACAGAGGAAAAGCTTAATAATATTAGACTTGGCAGTAACTTCTTGGCTATAAAACCAAAAGCACACTCAACAAAATATATATAAATTGGACTTTATAAAAATTAAAACCATTTGTGCAACAAAGGACACAACAGACACAGTGTAAAGGCCCGTTCTCAAGGAACGTGAGGGAACATTTGCAAATCATACACTGGATAAGGGATAAATATCCAGAATGTGTCCAGAACTCCTACAACTCAACGACAAAAAACCAATTCAAAAGCAGGCCAGGGCGCTTGGGTGGCTCAGTTGGCTAAGCAACTGCCTTTGGCTCAGGTCATGGTCCTGGAGTCCCAGGATCGAGTCCCACATCGGGCTCCCTGCTCAGCAGGGAGTCTGCTTCTCCCTCTGACCCTCCCTGCTCTCATGTGCTCTCTCTCTCTCTCACATAAACAAATTAAAAAAAAATCTTTAAAAAGATGCTCAATGTCACTCATCATTTGGGAAACGCACATCAAAACACAATGAGAACCACCTCACAAGCACAAGGATATGATTAAAAAAAAAAAACAAAAAACCCACACACCATAAAAGGAAAAGTGTTGGTGAGGCTGTGGAGAGACTGCAACCCTTGTGCGTTTCTGGTGGGAACATGAAATGGCACCACCACAGTGGAAGAAGGCCTAGTGGTTCCTCAAGAAATTAACCAGCAATCCCACCTCTGCATATATGCCCCCAAAATGGAAGCAGGGACTCGGACACCCATGTTCACAGCACCCTTATTCCAAAGAGCCAAAACGTGGAAGCAACCCAAGTGCCCATGGAAAGATGAATGGATCAATTAAATGTGATGCGTACGTACAATGGAATATCATTCCACGCTAAAAAGAAATTCTGACACACGCTATGACACAGACACGTACTACAACACTGAGGATGTTATGCTTATGACGGAAATAAGCCAGTCACAAAAAGACAAATCCAATGAGTCCATTTATAGGAGTGGTCAAATTCACAGGGAAAGAAAAGTGGAATAGTTGGCACCAGGAGCAGGGAAAAGACAGGATGCGGAGTTAGTGTTTAATGGGGACAGAGTTCCCTCAAAGTTCTGGAAACGGAAGCACCCCAATGTGAATATGCTCAATGCCCATGAACCCTTTTTTTTAAGATTTATTTGAGGGCGAGATAGAGAGCCGGTACACGTGCCTGAGCGGGGGGGGGGGGGGGGGCAAAGGGAGAGGGAGAGAGAATCACAAGCAGGTTCTGAGCCCGGAGCCCAAGGCGGGACTTGATCTCACGACCCTGAGATCATGACCTGAGCCGAAATCAAGAGCTGGACACTTAACCAATTGAGCCACCCAGGTAGCCCGAACCACACATTTAAAAATGAGTAAGATGGTAAATTTTATGTACATTTTACCACAATTTAAGGAAAGGAAAAATATAAAAAGAAAATTACCACTGTGGGATTCCTGCCCAAAACACACCACCTCAGCTCAACTGCAAGAAAACATCAGACAAACCACCCTGAGCAACAAAAAGAACAAAAAGATTGAGCGGTTCTCCTCAAGGGCTTGAAGGTCACAGGTGACAAAGAAACCCTCAGCAATGGTCGTGGGTTGGAGACCGAGAAGACATGACGACCAAAAGTGACATGGGAGCCTGGATGGGAGCCTGGGCCAGAGAAAAGTCACTGGGGGACGTCTGGAGGAAATCCAAACGCAGTCCTTAGCCTCGTCAATAGAAGTGTGCCGACACTGCTGTCCTGGTTTGACCGGCCCATGCTGGTCACGTGACGTGTTCAAGGGCGGGGGTGAGGAGGAAGGGACAGGGTCTGCACTCCTTGCTGAAATCTAAAACTATCTCAAAAGAAAAAGTGAATGGGGCGCCTGGGCGGCTGTCAGTTAAGCGGCTGCCTTTGGCTCAGGTCATGATCCCAGGGTTCTGGGATCGAGCCCCACATCGGGCTCGAGCAGGGAACCCGCTTCTCCCTCTGCTGCTCCCCCCACTCATGTGTGCTCATGCACGCTCTCTCTCGAATAAATAAATAAAAATCTTAAAAAAAAAGAAAAAGAAAAAATGAAGAGAAATGAATATACCCACTGCCCCCCCAAATGAAACCAAGCAAACTGTTCATGAGCCATGCCGTGGCATCTGTCACATGTCAAGCCACGGCACATGAGTCCAAAGAGTAAGACCCTGCCCTCACAGCTGCCCCACAGGGCACCCTGATGCCAGCTAAGTACAGAGCCAAGCACTTGGGGTGGGCACGTCCTAAGCTGTACCACTCTACCGATGGGAAACTGAAGTGGAGTCATTTGAGGGAAGCCAGCAGAGGCAGGGCTCGAGCCAGAGGGGGCCACTTGGCCAGTCGCTGGGGTGACAGTGTGGGGCCATGGGCAGCTCCTTAGGGCACAAGTGGCCCCCAGCAGGGCCCTGCTATGGACCCTCAGGGCTCCTCCCTCTGCTGTTGCTGAGCCAGCGGTGAGGGAATTAACATCTCCTTGCCACCTGCAGGCAAAGACTGAGGCTGCTGGGCCTACAAATCACTCCCTCGGCCGCGCACTGATTCCGTGATGATTTAATGAGCCGCTCCCGTCCTAATTACAGCTATCAAACCCCGCCTGCCTGGGAGGACAGAGGGACTGAGAAAGCTCGACGCTCACAGGTGCACAAGGACCCGTGGAAGAGGGCCGCAGGAGCTTGTTTCTTCAGTTACTTGAGAACCACTGAACTTACCAAGAAAGGCTTTTTAGCCAGGCTGGGAGTGGACACAGAGACCCCTCTGCGGGACATGCTCTGCCTCCCGCTGTCCCCAACTGTCTGGCCCCCCAGCCCGAGGACTGGCTGGCCCTGCAGAGCCAGCCCCGGGCACTGTGCCTGGCTGGGTCGACACCTCCTCCCAGAGATGTCCAGGCAAATGACCAGCTGGCATGCACCCACCCACCCTCTGCGCCCAGGTGAGCTGTGTCAGATGCACAGAACAGAAGAAACGGGAAGCGCTTTGGGTTTTGTTTTCAATTTTCATCAAAGTTTTGAAACATAGTTTCCTTTTTAATTTAAACAAACAAAAGGTGTGGCAGAGAGCTCCCCTGCAAGTCCAGCAGGCAGGGAAGGCGGCCTGCAAAAGTTCTCAGGGGACTCCACCGCTGGGCAGTGGAGTCCTAGGCAGTGAGGGAGAGACCACAGAGCTCGGAGGCTGTAGCTGGGAATGGGTGCAGAGACTCACTCCTCTGGATAGAACGCCACACCCCAGCTTTGGGGTGAAAACCCTGTGACCAAGTCAGGTGTCAGGCTGGGACCACAGACAAAGCGAAATTTCACATATGAAATTAGGACTCCGGGTCTCGACTGCAAAAATGCCTTTCCTCAGTCCAGGGGCCACCAGAGCACAAAGTGGAAGCTATTTAATATAACCCCCCCTTCACCTTCCTGGGGAATCAGATTCCTGATTCTTGGATGAAAGACCATCTCCCAAGTCAGCAAGTCCTGGTCTGTAATGAATCCAACACCCATGATCTCGGGGGGGGGGGTAATGGGAAGGGAAGGAGACCCCTGCCCCAGCCCCCTCTCAGGTCCCTGCAACTGCCCATATGGCAGCCGGAGGGATCTTTGCTAAACCAACATCTCGTATCACAGTCCTGCTTAAAACCTTCCCAGAGTCAGGGCGCCTGGGTGGCTCAGTCGTTAAGCGTCTGCCTTCAGCTCAGGTCACGATCCCAGGATCCTGGGATCAAGCCCACATCGGGCTCCCTGCTCCACGGGAAGCCTGCTTCTCCCTCTCCCACCCCCTGCTTGTGTTCCCTCTCTCGCTGTGTCTCTCTCTGTCAAATAAATAAATAAAATCTTTAAAGAAAAAAAAAAAAACCTTCCCAGAGCAGCCCACTACCAGAGCTATCATTCACTGAGCTCGGTCAGGTCAGGCTCTCCCCCACGACTAAGCTTCGTGCTCTCCCCCACAAGTTTCGTGCTCTCCATCCCCATGGCTCATTCTCATCCCCTGGGCTCAGCTTAAACATCACCTCCCCCAAAGGGTCCCCACCCCATTTCACTCTCTTAGAGCCATGACCTCAGGGCTGGGGACTAGCTGGCCATTGTTTCCTGTGACTTGTTCTGCAAGGCATCCCCAGGATACAGCACCAGGTAGGTGCTCAATAAATACTGAATGATGATCCCAGGGTCCTGGGATAGAGCCCCACATTGGGCTCCCTGCTCAGCGGGGAGTCTGCTTTCTGCTTCTCCCTCTGCCTCTCACTCGTGTGCACGTGCGCGTGCTCGCTCTCTCTCTCTCTCAAATAAAATCTTTTTTAAAAGGGGGGGGGTGCATGGGTGGCTCAGTTAGTTAAGCATCTGCCTTCAGCTCAGGTTATGATCCCAGAGTCCTGGGATCAAGCTCCACATTAGGCTCCCTGCTCGGCAGGGAGTCTGCTTCTCCTTCTGCCTCTCCCTCATGCGCGTGCTCTCTCTCAAATAAATAAAATCTTTAAAAATAAACAAATACTGACTGAAGGAACGGACTTTCCAGTCCAAACTGTGGCCACTGCAGGGAGACCTCACTGGGCAACCCTGATGCTTCTTACGCTCTGTGCCAGGGCACCACACTGCCCCAGGCCTGCTGGCCCCAAGCCCGTATGGGTCTGCAGTCCACCTCATAACACACCATGCCTGGCCAATACTCAAACTTTCTCACTGAAGTTGTTCAGCCAGACTGAAGCTCTGAGAAGACCACCATGCTCCCCACCTGGCTCCATGGCCCCTCAGCACCTCGGATGTGTTCCCAGATTGAGAATAGGAACACACATCACACTCCTGCTACATAAGGGAGGGAAGCCTGACTGTGTGTTGGGACACTGGCCCTTTTAAAGGACACTTGCACCCAGGGAATTCCAGAATGAACTGGAGACAAGCCTGCCCTCAGGGAGGTCACAGTCCAACGTCTGCTTAGCACCTGCTGAATGCCCACTATGTGCCCTATTGAGTATCCACTGAGTAAATCCCGTGTGCCTGCTGAATTTCTGCTGAACGCTTGCTGAATACACACTGTGTGCCTGCTGAACGCTTGCCAAGTACACACTGTATGCGGGCTAAATGCCTGCTCAACGGGAGCTGTGTGCCCACCAGCAGTCCACATGTGCCTGCTGCCAAGTGCTGCTGAGCACCTGCTAAGTACACACAGTGTGCCTGCTGAACGCCTGCCATCGGAAGAGTGCCCACTGAGCGCCACCATGTGTTCACTGTGCACACACCTCCAGCATCTCAGCAGCAGCCACCACGCAGTGAGCATCCATGTGCCGGCCCCATTCTGAATGCGCTACATGCGTTAACCTAAATCTGACCACAGTCCGGCCAGAGACCACTGCGACCCCTGCTTCACAGAGAGGGAGCGGAGCCCAGAGAAAGCTCAGCCAGGTCTAAAATCACCCAGGAGGAAGCAAGGAGAAGCCCAGTAGCCGTGGCCCTGCGCCGGGCACCAGGTGCTACAGAATCCCCCCACACTTTCTGCACTTCGTTTCCATTTGGCAAATAATAAATATTGACTCTCTCCACGTCCTTGGCCCATGAGGCAGGCCGTGGCTTCCTTGTTTGCGCACCTGGACCCCCATCCGGCCAGCAACACCACGGCCACACCCAGCCAGGGCAAGGCACCCACCTCTGCCCTGGGGTGGGGCTGGATGTGGTAGCAGGAGGTAGGGGAGGGGGTCAGAGACACCCCAGCCAGGACCAGGGAGCCATTCCATCTCACAAGCCCCAAGGCAAAGTGGGACTCTCCCACCCCCACCCCTTTCTCTCTCTCTGGTTCACCCATCACAGCCAGAAAGCCTCCACCTTGCCCTCCTTCCTCTCACCTGCTGATTAACTCTGTCATTATTACCCTCTAAATATCCCAAAGCAGCCCTCCCTTTGTCCCATGGCCCACCCCAAGCTGCTACATGCCCCCCCCTTGCTGTGGGGCAAAAGGACACACGGGGGGGGCATGCCTGGGTGCATGCACCCATAGGGACAAACATGATGAATGTCTGGTTTGCAAAAAACCAGACAAAAACCGGGGACAGCCTCTATGATCTTCAACAGATGGATATGAATTGAAGTTCGGCATACAACAGGGTCCTCTATGCCTACGTTAAGAAAAACGTGGGCCCCGGATTCAGACATAGGTTCAAACCCAGCCGCTCTGCACAGACAGCCAATCACCTCTCCCACCCATTTCTCATCTGTGCAACAGGAGAAGGAGCAGGGTTCCTCGTGGATTACTACAACAACACACTGGGCATACGCACATGGGCTCTACCAAGTCTGGCTCCTGCCACTCCCTGCATCTTCATGTCACTCATGCTGCCATCCTGCTGGAACCTTCCATGGCTCCCCATGGCCCACACGCAGGGTCTTGCCCAGGGCCCTCCACCACCCGCCCCACCTCCCTCCCAGCTGCTCTGCCCATGCAGCCTACGCTCCTCAAGCACAGGGCTTCAGGAGCCTGGAAGGCTCTGCTCCACCCTAACCAGCTGGCAAACGCCCAGAGCAGCATGAGAAGAGAGAAAACGTACAGGGGACTCAGGTCAAATCCCAGCTCACGTCCCTAATGCTGTGACACCCTCCAAGCCTCAGGCTCCCCCTCTATAAACCAGGGAGAATACCATCGGCTGCCTGGGGGTGTTATTACCTGTCACTAGGCTTCATGCTTGTAGCTCCTGGAACTGGGGCCTCCACCCAGCCCCTCTGCACCTGCACAATCCTGGCACATCAAGGGCTGCAAGAGCAGGGCTGCTCAGCCTGAGCACCAGAGACACCTGGGGCTGGATCATTCTCTGGGTTGGGGTTGTCCAGGGCACCGCAGGGTGCTGAGCAGCATCTCTAGACTGCAGCCACCACATGCCAACAGCATCCTCCCAGCCCGAGTCATGACGACCAAAAATGTCCCCAATGTTGCCAAATGCCCCTGGAGGCCGAACTGGCCAGGGTGAGCCCCCCGCGCCACTTGTCTCTGATGCTTCCCTGGCACTGCGCTCAGGCCAGTCTCTCCCCGGACCGGATCCCACCGCTGACATCAGCATGGCATTTTCCAGAGGATCCCCTTTAAAAAGAAATCACTAGCACCACAGTCTCTTAATCTTGAGTACCCCGAGGTACTTCTGCCTCGTCTCACAGAACAGCACCAGAGGGAGCCCCAGACCCCGGGGCTAAAATCAGAAAGCCCCCAGCACAGAAAGCAGCAGAAAAGGGCTGACGTGTAGCCTTCCACAGTGCCTGCAATGGCCCAGCTCTGACCCAGAGAAATCAAATTCACCCCAACCAGGACCAGAAGGCCCACTGCAAAGACAAGAGTCACCTTGCACCGTCCCCCAGGCCAGCTTTAGGAACTGTGACAGTGGAACACCTTTCTCAGCTCTATGGACCCACAAACACCACCGTGCCACCCACCGAGGGCTAGACAGCTAGCTCACACCCTGACCAAGGCCGACCCTCTCCCTCTGCGTGGCACAGCCCTGGTGACCGCAGGGCACAGGACTCCCAGCGAGGCCTGCGTGACCGGCTTTCCGGGTCCCCACTCAAATTTGGGCTCCCGTCTGGATCTGCAGAAGCAGAATCTGGGGGGAGCCCAGGAGTCTTCATCCTTTATCTCATAAATGACAGAACCACCGCCCACCATCTTCCCAACCTTCCCTATCGCTCTAAGTCAGCAGGTCTCAAAATGCAGGCAAGACCCATTGTCCTGGGGCCCACAAACCTTCTACGAAGCTCCAGATGGTAAATATTTTCGCCTCTGCAGGCCATGCGGTCTCTGTCAAAATGACTCAACTCTGCCATAGATAAGACAAAAACGAACAGGATGGCCATGTTCTAATAAAACTTTATTTACAAAAACAAGCAGAGCTCACTGAACTCCGGATTAGCGGGTTAAGAAATCAATTTGGTGGGTCCCCACTAGCATTCTACATTAAACAGAAGTGAATGGATTTTATCAGTTTTCCCCCCACAGATGGGAGGGGCTGGACTCCTCGGAGAAAGTTGTTTTGATTTTATGTTTGTTGCTGGGTGCTGGGATGCCATGAAACACTAATTTCTAACCCTAGGTCACAGTCAAGGAAGTGAGAAGGCATCTTCGGGACTAAGCCCTCAGTTCCCATGCCTGTCTCTCAGCCAGTGACACCACCCCCCGCCCCCCGGCCCACAAGTGTTTGCTTCAGCCCATTTTCACGTCGTGGGCATAGGCTCAGGGGAGGAACCGCCATGAATATTGATTTGCTAGGCAGTAGCAGGTGGTCAGGGTGTGCAGAGGTGGGGCCCACCTGCTCTGAGGAATCCAGGAGGCCTTCCTGGACCTGTAGTGTGCATGGAACCAGGGGTGTCTGGGGCTGGGTGTGAGCTTTGGGAGGGGTTCTCTGCACAGGACCTCAGGCTGGTAGGGACACTCAACAGTCACCTGTGGGAAGCATGCATGGAAAGGCTGGGAACAGGGCTGAGGCTCCCATGAAAAGCCTCCTTCCAAACAAAAACTTAGAAGCTTGCTACTTAGAAGCTTGTCTCTTCCAGGTTGTGGAGGGTTGGAGCACCAGCCTGATCTAGGCAGTGACTTTCAGAGGGAGAAGAGCCATGGGTCACACACAAAGGGGCATGTGATGCACCCCACAGCCACCACCTCTGTGACAACAGTAGTTACTGGCAAGAAATATGTATGCCCGGGTCCAAGTCAAAGGAGGAACATGTGCTTAGCTGCAGAAACGATCACTTCTCAGAGAAATCAAGGCCCAAGTGGGACCAACGTGCTCTGGCAAGCAACAGAAGGTTCCAGTCTGTGGTTTTAATTCCTTGTTTTGGACACGTTGTATGTGACTGTCTCGGGGCTGAGCACCAACTCTACCTCTTCCCAGCTAGGACACCACTCCGGGCCTCAGTTTCCCCATCTGTATGGTGGGGAAGACAACATCTCTTCTCTGAGGGGGTCTGAGCGTCAAGAATCAGGGACTGAGTGAAGGCCACACGGAGCCAGGCAGAGATCAGGAACCAATAGGACAAACTTGACCCAGTGCCTTAGAATAAACCCTCATCTCGCCCCCAGGCCTTGCTCCTACTATCAACCCTCTGGCTTATTCACCGTTGGCTCGGGGCCAGCAATGGGGTGAGGATCCCCAGTTCCTGGCAACGGATGAAGGAAGGGTCCCCTCTAGTCCTCAATGGTAAAGGCCACACGACCTGTACGAGCAGGCCAGAGAAGGACAGATGTGTGCATCTGCAGACAACCCCTAGGCCCACTGTCCCGAGGTGGTTTCAACAAGGTACCCAGATTCTGCCTTAGCCTGGGGTGGCGGGGAGAGCAACCTGGGGCCACCATCACAAAGGACCACAAACTGAGCAGTGTAAAACAAAAGGACTTTATTCCCTCTCAGTCCTGGAGACCAGACTTCTGAAACCCAGGTGTGGGCAGGGCCGCATTCCCTCCCAAGGCTCTAGGGGAGGATCTTTCTTGGTCTCTTCCAGCTTCTGGGGGCTCCAGGCATCCTTGGCTCATGGGAGCATCACGCCAGTCTCTGCCTCCATCCTCATCATCACGTGGCCTTCTCCTGCTCTCCCGCGTGCGGCTGTGTGTTCTCTTTTTACGAGAACGCCAGTCACAAGATTTAGGACCACCCTAAATCCAGGATGATCTCATCTCGAGATCCTTACCCTAATTTCATCTACAGAGACATCTTTTCTAAATAAAGTCGCAACCACGGGTTCTGGGGGTCAGGACACAGACAAATCTTTTTGGAGGCCCCTGTCCTACTCAACCCAATCCTCGGTGTGCCGCTCACAACCTGGAGAGCATGAGCCTGCCGGGGCTTTCTGGGGGGCGGGAGGCGGCTCGCTCTAGCCTCTCAAACAGAGCAGCTCGGGGAGCCCTGCGTGCGTGTATGTGGAGGCTGCAGATGGCACCAGACACTTGAAGCAGCCGGCACAGAGGCAAACAGTGCTGAAGCCAGGACTGGGGCCAGGACTGGGGGCGGCCTTCACGCTCCGCGAACCCAAGCCACCGCTGCGCTATGCCTGCCGCCCAGGGACCCGTTTTCCCCCAGCCTGTGCAGAGCCACCCCCGTAACAGGGGAGGGCCAGGAGGACACCCTCCTTCGGTGCAGCCATAACCGGCAGCCCTGGCTGGGCCACCACGGACTGCTTTGCTTTGTGTGTGGGCTTTTTCTGGCCCAGGTGCCGCTCCCTGGGATACTTAGCGATCAGTCACACGCAGAGCCTGCTATGTCCTGAGTCCCTGGCAGGTCTGCTGCCCAAGTATCACCCAAAGCCACTAATCCTGGTCACCGCCACAGACACCTCCAGGCTCAAGCCACCACTCCCTGATCCCAAACCCAGGTGCCGCAGCAGCCTCTCACCATCTGCCTGCTTCTCCTCTCATCCCCTGGCCCGTTCAGCCCACAGCCATCTTTGTGAGACATGAAGAGTCCTCAAATGGTTAAACGGACAGTGAACCAATGACCTGGCACCTACCATGTGACCTCCGCTCCTTGGTATCCACTCAAGGGAGAAGAAGAGCTGCCGCCACACAAGCTCCTGGGCACGAATGTCCGTGGCAGTGATAGTCACAATGGCCCAAAGGTGGAAACAACCCCAACGTCCATCGATGGATGAATGGCTATATAGAACGTGGCAGGGCCACAAAACGCAGTATTATTCAGCCTTAAAAAGGAAATGACAGACGTGCCCAACTGTGAATGTACTTATTGCCACAGAACTGTCCACTCAAAGATAGCGAAGGTGGCAAATTTTATGATCTATATATCTCACCACAAGTTTTTTCAAAAAGAAGGAAACGCTGACACACCCTCCAGGGTGGATGAACCTTGAAAACCTCGTGCCAAGTGAGAGAAGCCGGACACAAAAGTCCACGTGGTTCATGATTCCATGTATATAAAATGTCCAGAACAGACAAATCCATGGAGACAGAGAGCAGATGAGTGGGTGCCCGGGGCAGGGGGAGGGGGCAGGGGGCTTCCTTTCGGACTGATGGAAACGTCCCAAAGTTGACTGGTGATGGTTGCACAACTCTGTGAACATGCGAAACACCACTGAATAGTATATTTTAAGTGAGTAGATTGAATGTACTTGGAACTGTATCTCGATCAAGCCCTTTGCCATCACAAACCTTCCCAGGGCCCCTCCCTCAGTGCAACTGAGGGCTCGCCAAGCCACGCCAACCTCACCGCGACCCTCACTCTATATGTGCCGGTCTGTCTTCTGATCTGTCCTCAACCTTGCCAAGCCATTCCCACTTTAGGGTCTCTGTGCCTGCCTGTCCCTCACCTGGGGCACTCTTCCCCAGTGGGGGGGGGGGGAGGGGGCTGCATCTCACTGCTGGGGTGTCAACTTCCCACCCTGGCCAGTCCCAGCAAGTCACTCTGTTGCTTCTCTCTGAGAACACCCGTTTTGTTCATTTGCAGCAATTCTCTCCTGTCCCCCCTAAAACCACACTGGCTCCCCAAAACCATGGCCCTCACATGCCCTGGATGCTGCTGTTTCCCCAGCACCCAACATGGTCCCTGAACAGTCCCTGAAATGTGCCGCCCCAACCTTACAG